ATGGAAATCCTACGACTATGTATAATGTTGGAAGTGCTTATTGGATTGGAAAAGGTGTAGTTAAAGATCAGGAAATTGGTTCCAAGTACTTAAAAATGGCTGCTAAGAAAGATCAACATAATGCTATTGCTATGTGTAAGAAACTTGGAATTCCTTTTTAAATTATGTTACTTTATTAAAACATTATATAATAGTCAAAATAATCAATATACGAAATCATTAGTACAAATCACATATATATGTAAAATAAAATGGATATTATCGAGATCACCAGTATATTTTAAAATTTTTGATTTTAATATTTTATATTAAGCAATCATAAACAATCCTCGAAATATATAGATTTTTAGTTCTATTCAGATAATTGAAATTTTACGATTTATCTCATCAATTCATAAGCTTTAATTTTATGTAAATATAAATTAGTTTTAGTCGCTTATGTATTATCTTTCGTTGATATATATTTTACACTAATAAAATTTTAGATAATGAATTTAACATTACATTAGTCATCTTTTTAAAAACCTTTGCTTTTGTTATGGTTATTCTCATCGATCAAATTATTAATGTCCGTGTTATTGGCCATTTTCTTTTTCACTCTTTTCTTTTTTTTCCTTTTACAAAATGTTTAACAAAAATTTTTACAAATATCTTTACAAAAATTAATGACGTATAAATAGAATTTACGATTTATGAAAGCAATGAAAGTAAAGTCCATAAAATTTACGATCTGGACATTAAATAGGTTTTTTTCTAAAGATCACACGGGAATACAACAGGTATAACAAGTATGACAAAGAATTCCATAGTGCAATCAAACTCACAAAGAATTTTCTCTAGGTTATTCTTTCGCACTTCTAATTCCGGGAATGTACCAACTCGGAATATTCCATATTCTTTATAGAAAATCTTTTAAAAATTTGACTATACAATTTAACAGACATGCAGCTGAAATTTCCGTAACCGGTTAGTCATCCAATAACTAACTAGTTAAGGCGCATTTGTGCATGTATATAATAATTTTGTCATCCCATACTTTAATAGGTTTAAGCCGCATACATCGACATTAGCCTTTCTACGTATTGTGAGATGTTTTGCCTCAAGACAAAATAAAAATTACTATATTTGGTTCAATATCAGTTTCGAAAATATTAAAAAAAGAAAAGTCATTTTTTGATTTTATTAGATTTATGCGAGTAATAAATTTTTTAATTGTTTTTTTTTAAAAAAAACTTGCTTTTACTTGCTAGAAACTTTCTAGAAATATTTACAATAAGATTTCCTTTTTTTTTTAAAGCACCATGTACTTATCAGAAATATTCAAGTAAAAAGACCTTGTTTGTTAATTTGCTTATTAATATAAAACATTTCTTTTATGTTACGTATCCGTCACGTGAAAAAAAAATAGTAACAATTGTACGTAATAGTTTGGTACCATACATACGTACTAAACTGGTGCAAATATGTATTACGATACAATATCGAGCTTCACAATATTGTATAACGTGAATCAGATGAATCAATGCCAATACTGGCATATGATTTTCTCGTTAGCGCTAATTTTGATTATTGGACCTTTTTTTTGATCACTAAAACGTATAAAATCTGATCAAAGATCCCCTA